AAAAAAAAAAAAAAAAAAAAAAAAAAAGGGAAAGGGAAAGGGAAAGTATGCTGAGACGGAAAAGTGTCCAAAGTCATATAATTAGCCAGATCAGGTCATGAAACAAAAACCAGTCTGAGTTTTCAGCACCAAAGATGCGTAGGAGGGAACAATGGAAGGAAGAGGGGTCGAGAGGACATCAACTGAAAGTGGAGGAACAAAAAGTATAAAATGTTGGCAGGAAGGAGGTAATGAAAAACCTCAGAGCCACCATGCTCTGTGTGGCAGTAGGTCAACAGGAACAGAAGCAGGAAAGAAAGAAGCTGGTACTTCTCATGTTTTTATACTTCAAAGAATGCATTGTTTTAAACCTAGGCATATAACATTGATAGTGAAGCTGGTACTTTTCATATTTTTACACTTTCAAAGAACCCATTGTTTTACACGTGTATTCCTACCTGGTGGGAAGCAAAAGTGGAAAGAAGAGAAGAAAAAAAAAGAGTAGGGAGAGGAAGGGAGGAATGGATAGGAAAGAGAAGTGAAAGGAAATGCGGAATGAAAATCCCTTTTTTAGTTAAAACTTTTCCAGACACATACAAATTCATCAAATATTACAGAAAATACGAAGTCTAAGAGATGTGGTGAGGACAACAATACATATATTACAAAGTTATCACAACATAAATTATGCAATTCTACTGAGATTGGGGCACTGAAGGAAGAGTTAAGGTTGTTTTAAAATGATTTGCATGTAGAGTCACTCATGACTAGGATTTTTTATTAAATGCCAATAAGCATATATATTAAATTAGCCATAGGAAGACCCAATAACAAAGAATATCCAATAAAAGCAAGGGTACATACTGAATGTGTTATATTTTCAATCAAATCCACAATGCAATGAGCATAATCATAACTTGGATAGATACACCACTTGTCTCCTGCGTGAGGGTGAGGAGTAAACTGGAAAACAGAAAGTCAAACCACTGACATATGACTAACTCCTTGACATTCAGTAACCAAAGATACTTATGTAAGCATACTTGCCTTGATACGATATGCAATGAGGTCGTACATATTGCAATTGTCACTCTGCATGTCCTGTTTCATCCTAAGTGTTGCCTTTCCTTCCTCTATCATGCCTTGTTTCATTTCATCAACCAGCTTTAATGATTCTGTGATTGGTCTATCTCTCCAAGGACTGTTCATCTTTTTCTCCCTGTACTCTTTTATCTCTTCAGGTGTCTAGATAACATACCAAAGATTAATGATATTATATAGTTGAATTTGAGAAACGCACTTCGTTAAAAATCATTGATCCTTGTAAACGATCTTGTACAATTGAGTAATTTGCATAACTTCACAAGTATCAAAACTTGATAATTCAAACCAATAGAAAAAAAGAAGAGAAACCAAAAATAAAGGCGGCAATTAAAGAAGGATAAAAAGGAAACAAAAAAAAAGTATCATAAATCAGCAGAAGATTAATATATGTTTGTATCACGAAAAACAACCTGGTGATCAACATAAGCATGACCCCGTCGTATAAGCTCCACTGCTAGCTCATAAAGTTCTTGGAAATAATCGCTGGTGTAAGTGATCTGCAACATTCCAACAACTATTACATGTTGCCAGGCCACAAAGATTGCCAGTAATGTGGACCCAAAGTATACCTTGAATGGTTCCCAGCCCATCCATCGTACAATTTCTTCAATATGTTCTATATATTCTTTCTTCTCAGCTTCAGGGTTGGTATCATCATATCTGAAGTCAGAAGTTTTACAGATCAGCACAGAATTTAGAAACAAGAGCCTCTAAAATATTCTGTTATCATTTTTCAGTTAGATTTGCGAAAAAAACTCTCAAAAGTAAAAGTTAAGTAATATAAATATAATCTTATGACCGCGCTACATTAGTGTAACAATAAGGCATCAGAAAAAGTTTTCCTACCACTTTCAGGTTCAGGAAGGGTTCCCATCACAAACACAGTTCATTGACATTACTATGTGTGTGGTATCCTTCCAAAAAGAGACTGCCTTCCTTCCCCCTATAATCAGAACCTTTCTTGAGGAACACCCGTGTTCAGCATCTCAAATATAATGAGCTTCCCAAACACATTAAGATATGCACACTAACTGTTCTTTTACATGTGGTGATGAGTGACATGTTGTCTTATCAAATGTTTATGTCATGTCTTGCACCCAACTCGTCGAATTCTCACTTGACTTCAATACCACGTCTTTCTGTTGTCATACTATCTCACGCCGAAGGAGGAATAACAGAAGGCATGTGATTGAAACAATAACAGATTAGTACATGCAATTATTGCGTTCCCAAAAATGGTAATGTTCAGGTAACACATTGAAAAAAAATCAGGCATATCTATCAAGGCAGTCACCAACACGATTTCCAACCCTTATGCCCAATATGAATTAGACCAACGACGGTAATGACATACTTTAGCAGTTCGAGTTTTGAAGTAACAAACGGCTCCACCACCAATCAATATGTATTCATTTTGATACTCGTCCAGTATTGTTATATTTGCCACAACATTATTTAGATATTCATGCATATTAAGGGAAAAATGCATTCATTGTCAAGAACATAAATAGGTCAAACTTCAAAAAGATAAAACATAAATAAGTAAAGACAAAAAGGAGGGTGAAATATATCGGTTGGATACCTTACAATTTTCCTCTGGTGAAGCGAATACTGAAAAAGGATTAAGTTCTTCGTCAGATGGTTTTGGTGGAGGAGTGTCTTCGGCAGTAGCTTTTTCCTAAGGAAGTGAATACATAAACAAAGCTCTGATGAAAAAAATTTAACCCATCTTCTAAGTTCTACTTTATGTCTGCAGACAACAGTCAAGAGTCATGCAGCTCCACTCACCTCTACTTTAACGGGCTTCTCTTTCTTCTTTTTTATGGGTTTCTCTTTATCTGCAGCTGTTTTTTCACCAAGTAGCACACACAGTTTAGCATCTATGAGTTCCTGTTACAGATGGTGTTATGGGAGTCAACAAGAGGGAATGAAAAAATGAAACAACTCAATCAATCCCTTAATCTATTTTTGCCAGTGAGTAAAGAGAAAGGACAGGTAGCAAAGTATTACCTTGACAATCTTTGGATCGCCCCATGGCTGCCTCCTTCGAACATGACCAAACAATACACCAACTAGACAAGAGAATATTGTTCAAGAAGTGTTGATCAGTAATAAAACATTATCTTCAGAAGAGGGGGATAAAAGGGAACTGAACATGTCATGCCACAAAATTTTTCTTCCTGATCCAATCATCTACGTAGTGTTCATGTTGATGTCAATGAAACATTAGCCACAACATTTTGCTAATAATCTTCACCCCAACAAGAAGTCAAGCCCGTAGTTGTTGTACAACTTACCATGTCACAAGTGAGAATGTCTTGTGAAGATGCAAAAGTTTTCTGATTCTGAGGCCCACAGCAACCCATGGAGTGGAGATTCATACTTTAAATACTAATCAGTCTTCTATACGGATATTTCACATACTGGCCATGAGGCCATCACTTCTGACCCAATGTTACACAAGATTGAACACAAGTTCATCCAGCCCCTTATCCTGGCATCGTAATAAGTTCTAGCAAAGCTCACTCAGACTTCATAGACAGCATCCTAGAGAGAGAGTTGCATATCCTACATTGAGTTGCTCCTTATCTGGTTTAAAAGTTCATGAGCATTTGTCAGCCTTTCTGTATTGTGGCAATGGCAGTTTTTTTATTTTGCGTGCATTTTTAAGCACTTAGAGCTATGGTTAGTCAGCTTTCCAGTGGGTCGGTGAGCAACATCCATATGTCAGACAGCCCCGCCAGTTTGAGAAGATGTTTGGTGAGCTCTGATAGAAGAGAACAACTTTGTTGTTTGAAGTATACTATGTTGGATTTATTAGGCACAAATAGTTGTGCTAAAACATAAAGTTTAAAAATGAAATTGATAATATAAATACACCCCTGTTGTTCCTTTGAAAACTCAATTGATTACAATATGTATGTACTACAGATCTATTTTGGGTTGGATAAAATCTTACACAACAGTTTATCTTTTCATCTCTACAATCAGCACTTGACATGCATGTGTTACTATAATTAAGTGAAAAATATGTTAAAATGATTTTCTGGTGTATTTAAAAAAAAAACACAAGATGAAAAGGTTATTTTCTTGACAATTAAATGTGGGCGTTGTTAAGCATTTGTACATGATTTAACTTGCACAATGGACCAAGGTCCTATTCATAGGAGGGTACAAGATTTAAGGACAAGGGGGTAAAATCTCATGCAGATTCATGTAAAAAGAATCCATGTGCACCATCTATGAGTAAATGTACCATATATTAGTAATAGGGCTAAACAAGATTTATTAAAATGCCATCTGCCACCCACAACAGTACATGAGCAATGAGTGACTCTTGTTTATACTATCAGTCAACAAAACAAGACAACATCAAATAGAAACGTCCTATATAAATTATCATTTGAAGAAAGACATATTCATTAGCATAGCATACTAGAAACTCTAACCATTTGTAAGATAGCGCTGCTCCAAAATTGCATTATTGTTCTCTCCAAATATCTCATTAACAGTATGCTCCATATCTTCTACAGAGACCTCGACTCCTGTTTGCAAATGGAGAGTTCAACATAGGGAGGAGGAAGGGAGATGGTTGAGGAGGTAGAGAAAGGGTGGGGGATAGAAAGAAAAATGACCAAAAAGAGAGTACTTAAATGCAAATTAAGGTTGCGAAAAGATGATGAATAATGCATTCCAATTTAGAGTGTTACTAAGTAATGCTAAGACTCCGTGAAAGCAAGGGGACAAGTCATTTTATCATACCAACACCACAAGTTTTTTCAAATTCAGAGACATTGAAACTCTCTGAAGCACTAGCTGCTAAAAATGAAAATGCAGCTTCTAACTGGGCTGGAGTTTTAATCTGCAAGAGTATAAATGTGTACAAATTAGTAGAACGACAAAAATGTTCTAAATAGTGTAGTTCAGATCTCACAACCATGGTAGCCTTAACTAAGGTAAAGGAAAAAAAACAATCCTGCTACTAACTGTAAACAAAACTAATGTCTGACAAAACTTCAAATAGTCGTATAATGATATAGAGAAATCAGTAAATGAAAAATTCAGAGAGATAAGAGACCCTAAACCTTCAAAAGTACTATATATTTAAGCAATGTAGGGCGATGCACAAGGGCATTTGCTGGGAACTTTGTAGCAACCTGTTATGTAAAAGGAATAAACTAGTGTCAATTTTTTTTTAATATCACCTGCAGCTATTCGATTTTGCTACTAAAAGATGCTAACATTTCATCAAACTTCACAATTATGTACAAACAAAAAGAAAGGGCCTCAAGAACAAAACTTTCCTAGTTGTACTCATTCTAAGTTTCCCTGAAAAAAATTTATATTGAAATAGGCTGATACAAAACATTTGTAATTCTAAATTAGCTTACTGTGTACAGAAGATTTCCAACTGTACGATCACATCCATCAGTTACAGCTGCCTGAAAACACAAATAAACAAGATCACATATAAAAAATTCCGATGCAAAGGCACATAAAAAATAAAGAAATCCGGACACATCAGAATAGAAATCAACAAAAGAATCGAAATCAAAACTCTTTCAATTGCAGAACACGATTGTATAACAGTGAAGATAAACAATGTATCTGGCAGCTGTAAATCAAAGGAGACAAGAAAAATAAAAAATTTGACCGGAGAAATTTCTCTCATTCTGACAGTTCACACCCAAAAAATGAAGTCCCACCTCGGTATAGTTTAGTACAGCTATGTGACTCAGTGTAGTTACGAATTCTCTGTTCTACTTTCATTCTCAAATTCTTCATTAAATACCCCTAAAATTTCTCGGTCACCATACAGAAAGCGACCCAATCACTCTTCCGTACGTGCGCGCACACACACACACACACATATGTATATATTCTGTGTGAGAAAGATTGAATATTAGAATTGTATCGTTTTGAGAATCTACAAGAAAAATAAAAAATCCAAAACCCAGCTGAACCCATCGCAGCTTTGTAGCTCATTTTTTCGCATGCCACCAAACGAAATCAAAACGAGAGTTATAATCTACAATTTGGTCTGCAAATGCATACATATATATATATACCTGTGTGTGTGCGTGTGTGATTGGCTTGTGGAGAGAGAAGAGCATTTATTACCTCGTGAATGACGGTGGTGAGATTTGCAGTGACTTTATTGTTGGCAATTGTGTTCTTGGCAGTCCGTTCATCTAAGCCGATTTTCAGGAACAGGTCCAGGGGAGGCTGCTCGGTGTTGCTCTCATCTTTCACCCCCATTTTCACCCAGGAAAAAAACCCTAGCTTTTGGTGACCGAACTGAACTGATCCACCCGTATGAACCGTCGTGAAAGAACAGCCAATGTAAGACTCAATGGGTGGCTGCGTGGGAAGAGATTCATTCAGTTTAGGACATGGCACTGAGGATGTGTTTCTTTTTCTATCGAGCTAAAACTCACTAATACTAGCCATAAACCCAAGAAACATAAGTTTCGAGTATTTAAAAAATTTATCTCACAATATTAAATAATAATTTTTTATTTTTTATTTAATTATTTAAAATTAATTTTTACTTATTATTATTTTAAAAATAGTGTCAAAATTTTTTCAAAATAACTAATTTGATAGATTTTTTTAATATATATATACTATAGTATATGAACAATATATGAAATAAAAATTATATTAAATTATAAATTAATCAAATAATTTTGTCAATATGTGTGTACTATTGTGTATGAACAATGTATAAAATAAAAATTATATTAAATTATAAATTAATTAAATATTAATTAATTAATTACATGATAAAATTGAAAGATATAATATTCTTTTAGAAGAAAATATATAAGAAATAAATTTTCAAACTCCTGGATATTTTGTTATATATATATATAAATGTTTAGAATTTGGATTGTCAGTAAAAAGGGAGATAATTTTTATAGGATATGATAAAAAAAAATATATGTGGAGGTTATATATTTCACGTTTAGTAAGTAAAAAATATATTAAAAACATCATTTTCATTCAGATTTTATTCTAATTCGATTTGAAAAATGAACTTTAACCCATTTACATGGGATAAATGAAACGTAAAAGGAGGCTAGGATATTTTTTGCCAGGATAATTAATACAACTGACTGAATTGTCCTGTTCTCTTCTTCTTCTCGCTTTGTCTCCTCGTTTTATTTTTTCACAGATCTTTTTTTTTTAACAAATTTATTTTGTCAATACAAGGCTCTAGCAACATACTTCAGAAGATCAAGACATCTTTTTTAACAAGACAACTAATTTAAATAATGAACTAACTCTAATAAAATAAGAGCAATGCTACATGAACTCAAAAAATAAATTTAAAAATTAGACTTGATAATCTCAGCCATTAATTTTACTGTAGGTCCTAGCATTTATTGGAACCCACTACCTATTCAATGATTGAGATTATCAAGTCTAATTTTTAAGTCCATCTAGCATTACTCATAAAATAATATCTTATATGGATTAAGATTAATTAATAACTAATAATAAATAAATAATTAATAAGAATTTGAGTTAATTATTTTTTTATCCAAATAAATAAAAGGAGATTTTTATTTATGTTGCTGGATTGCGATTGGCCCAGCCCAACAGACGCTTCACATATAACGTTACTGGGTCAAAAGATTAAAAAAGTTTATTAAAGATTATAAAAATCAGTCAAGCTTATGACGTTGACACTTAAATCTTAATGCAGACTTTCTTGGACCCCGAGGAAGACAGCAATGCCTATAAAACGTAAGACTTGGTTCCCAAGTTTATAATACATTATTTCTTTAATTTTTTTTATTTTAAAAACTATTTATCATTAATAAATGAGTATCTCACTTATATTTAATACGAGTAATGATATGTATCTCAAATTTATAATTCAAATTTGCATCTCAAATCAATGAAGACCATAGTGGTCCTATTTAAAAAGGTTGATGAGACTCACTAATTCAATGGTCTTCCTTAATTTGGGATACATAGCACTACTCATTCAATAAACTCCACTTGAATACAAGTTGGGTTGACTCGCCTGAGATATGTGATACGGGTTGGTCCAATTTTTTAGATTTATTTGATAAAAAATTTACTCAAAACTTTGTTTGTGTTTAAATTCATTTCGATCTCTATTTTTCAAAAATTTCCAGTATTTACATCTAATTAAAACAGATTTGAAAATTAAAAACTTTTAAATTTTGAAATTTTTCTCACATTAAAACTCAAATTTCTCTCATTATATAAAGAGTTTGAATTTAGAGATAAAGAGTGGTCTAAATCGTTTCGTGACCAAAAAAGACATCATCCAACGATCGACGTTATCCCAAACTATCTCGAGTTATTGACGTCTTAGATCATCTCAAAATTTTTCATCTAACGCACAATATTCATTTATAAAAAAAAAAAAAAAAAATCCCCCTCATCACAAATTCTATCTTTAATTCTCCCAAAAATCACGCACTTGACTGCCCCAAAAAATTCATTGTCCAAATTAACTCCCACTTAATTCACGCTTTCTCTCTTTGTTGAGTTATAGTCGCTCCCCCCACCCACCCAATCTCTCTCTCCCCCCCGAAATTTAAGCAATGAAATCAGATTCCTTCACCCGTTGCATATATCCCCTAAAAATAGTTTTTCAAACTTGATACAGATCTCTGAAAAATCCCACTCAAATTATGCCCTAATGGCTTGCCAAAATTATAATCGAAAACTTTCAGCTGCTGCTCTCTATCTCCTTGCCTATTCTGCTAGGCAGACTCTCTCTGCCTGTCTGCTTGGGTCTCTCCCCTCAGTTGTTGTTGTTTCCTTCTCTCAGGTATGTCATGTTTTGATTTTTTTCTACTTCCTTCTGTTTTGTTGCCTTGCACACCAACTGTTCGATGAGTTGCCTGTTTGTATCTTATTTTTTTTCTGTTTTTTTTATATAGTCCAGCACATAGATGAGTTGCCAAGCATTTGTTAAACATGATAATCTTGACAATTGTTTAGCCATCCAAGTGTTCGTCATTCACAGCCAGAATACCTCTCTCTGCATCACATTCAAAACCATGGTTAAATTATTCTCCTTTCAAACTAATTAAAAACATGATAGAAATAATGACACTCTTCTCTCACTTCCAAATATAAACTAAAGAAGCAAGTTAATATAAAACATGAGGAGCTCGATAAGTAGTAGTAACTGCTTCATTCAACTCACTCAAGACTAGATGGCAAGAGGCTGTAACATAATGTACTCCACAAACACATCGTTCCCATGTTATAGAAAAACAAACAAGAAATCAATTATTCATCAATTACCTCCAATGCGTTGTGCACAATTCCTTCAGGTCAGTATCACTGAGGAACAATGTCAACGGGACAGACAAATTTGTTGTGGAACAATTATTCATCAATTTGAACGTCAGCAAGTATTTGTAAAAGCATCACAATGGTTTGACAAAGTCCAGAAGTCAATCTACTGCAAATTCAAATCATGTTAGGGAAGGGTAAGCGAAGCCATCTACTATTGGCTCTGAAACTATTCCAGATAGGAAGTTTGACGAAATTAGAACAACCTTCAGATGATTTAGGATATATGATTTCCAAACAATATATGTGAAATTTTAAATGACAATAGTAGCCTTCTTTACTAGGATGGCAGCACGATAAAATGTAGGAGTTTTAAAAAATTTAGGATATTTAATCATACTGCTAATATTGATAGTTTTCTTTATTTTCCTCCCTTGGATACACAATAAACAAGCACTGAAAACTAACTAACTTTTTAATAGAGAAGAGTTACTTGACTAGAATAACCTTCTAGACACCCATCCACCAACCCAACCTAACCCACAAACACACATGCATGTGGATGCACACATCAGCATCTCCTCTTTCTCAAATGACTGTTTTTCTATTTGGATTTTTTTTTTCTGGACAAAACATTTGGTGCTTGCTAGTGTTATTTGCCTTCGTGCCTTTAGGTAGTGGTTTGTGATTTTTTTGTCTAGTAAAAACTCTGACACAGACAAAAAGGGTATCAATTTTTTTGTTAACTTAGCTGTGGCATGTTTGGCCCTTTTAGTTTGCAATATCAGAGTCAACGTCCCCCCCCCCCCCCACAATTCTGTTTTGGCCCTTTTAGTTTGCAAGCATGTTTCCTTGACCATGTTATGTTTTTAGTTTGCAAGAAATTATCTGCTTAAATTTTTTAATTTTCTTTTCTGGCTGACTGTGTTCTATTTTTATTTTTTTTCTCTGTTTTGATGATTACCATACTGGGGTGTTGGTCTCATACTTATGCCTTTTGGCACTTGATTAAATTAGTATAGACACTTGAAAAGGACACTATGAGAGAACCAAGGAAAAATCAGAGATTTTTTTTTTGGGGCACCTCATGGCCGAGAATTTCAACTTTTGTCATCCTTCAACTTTTTTTAGGATCTCAGGCACATCAATTGGGAATAAAACCAACAGCCCAAAGTTGCTATTGAAGATCAAAAGTGGGAAGAAATAGATATGAGCCTTAGAGAAGTGATGATAGACCAGTAGGAGATGATTATTTAAAAGAAACTCTACACTCCAAATTGTTAAGAAGTAGATTATGAATGAGAGGTCTATTGAGGTGTAATTGTAGAACTCCATAGGTCTAGAAGGATTGTAAGTAACTCCCAAAATTATATGAAGTTCCCTAAGTTTTGATTTGCTCTACTTAAAAACCAACACATTTGAGTTACCTAACCAATTAAAGGGGATCGATAACCAGTGAGATTATTAAAAATATTATTATAGTCAAAAAAATTTTCTAAACATATTAAAAGAAAGAGAAAGAAATTTAAATTTATGAGTTACTGATACTCAAGAGTCATTATAGATATTAAATTTCTTATTAAAAATAAAAAGTATAATTTAGATAATATACAATGATGATATATGTTCCTTTTGTTTATATCTCTGTCGGTTCACTATTGTTTTCTCCTTTTAGTTTACGAATCCTAAATAGTTAAGGTGTTCTGTTAATGCTAAATACAAGCATGTTTCCTTGTTCTCACCAAAATTATCTGATTTTTTCTAAAATCTACATTAAATTTTAATTTTGTTTTCTAGCTAACTGTGGTTTTTGAATGTAGTTGTAAACAAACAATACTGGGGTGTTATTGCATTGTTTTTCCTATTTAAAAAATCACGTTGAAGTTTTGTTGTGATTTTTTGCTGCGATTGAGATAATTATGAGTTAATTTTTGTAGAGTGTAGCCATTTTACCTATATTTCATATGTTTATATTATATCATTCCTTTTGTTTATAACAGTATTGATTTTTGGTGGACAAGTTTTTTGTAATTTGGGTTCGAGAGTTCAACGAATTAGATTATTGCCGCTGAAAATTCACTGCAATGGGGTAATTTGGTGCTGCTAAATTGTTTATTATGTTCAAGTGCAAGGT